AGTCTCTGTAAGTTTTATATTATATAGAATCAAACAAAGGAACAAGGAAACAGTAATTGATTGGCTAGCATAGAGGCAGTTTCCATATAAGACACATAGGTTGCTTGAAATGTATAACAGGAAGAAACACCTTACATTCCTTGCATCAATCTTCAAATTCCCTGAAAGATTTTTGGTCAGTATAACCTGGAGTCCTGAGTTAAGCATTAAATAAATCTAGTTTCTAAGCAACAGGTCTGTTCTCTCAGTCATGCAAGTCTAGGTTCAAACAATGCAATGACATTTTCCCACAGAAGGAAAGAAGTTAACTGGGGGGAAAAAACCTTTGTATCAAATATTCATGTTAAGGGTCCTATATCCAAGATACATAGTCAACTAATAAATATACATAAAAGACTTAAAAATAATATGAACAAATAATTCTCCACAAATAACTATAAATTCTTAACAACCACTTGAAAAAATGCCTAATAAGTCACTAATAATGGAAATATAAATCAAAATAACTCTGAAGTTTTGTCTCATACCCAGCAAATTGGCAAAGATAATAAAAGATAGAATAAAAGATAATAAAAGGTAGAGGAGCTTTGGAAAGATGAACACATAAATGTATTATTGGTGTGGTTATGAATTGGACTAGGTTGTTAAAGGGTTTTGAAAGTCAAACAGGAGTTTATATTTTACCCTAAAGGCAATGGGAAGCAATGGGAATTTGTTGAGTAGGGGAGCCAGAGCTCATAATCACAAGATACTGTGATACACAGATTTTTTTTTCTCAGTTATTCTGTCCCAACACAGGTTACACTGAGGAAAAGACAGATAAAACAATATCTTATTCTCTTTTCTTTTTTAAAAAATTTATTTAGGATTTTATTTTCCCTCAATTACATGTAAAAATAATTTTTAACATTTGTTTTTAAAACTTTGAGTTCCAAATTCTTTCCCTTCCTCCCTCCCAACTCCCCTCATTGAGAAGGCAAGTAATTTGATGTAGGTTATATATGTGTAGTCATGCAAAACATATTTCCATATTAGTCATGTTGTGAAAGAAACCATAGATTAAAAAAAAACCATCAAGAAAAATAAAATAATGCTTCCATCTGTATTCAGATATCATCAGTTCTTTGTCTGGGGATGGATGGCATTTTTCATCATGAGTGCTTCAGAGCTGTCTTGGATCATTGTATTGCTGAGCATAGTTAGGTCATTCACAGTTGATCATCTTACAATATTGCTGTTACTTTGTACACTGTACATTTCACTTTGCATCAGCTCATGTAAGTCTCTTCAGGTTTTTCTGAGAGCATCCTGCTCATCGTTTCTTATAGCACAATAGTATTCCATCATAATCACAAAGCACAATTTGTTCAGCCATTCCCCAATTGATGGGTGTCCCCTCAATTTCCAACTCCCTGCCATCAGAAAAGAGCTGCTATAAATATTTCTGTACGTATAGGTCCTTTTCCCTTTTGTTTTTTATCTTTTTTTTTTACACAGACCTAGTAATGGCACTGCTAGGTCAAAGGATATGTGTGGTTTTATAGCCCTTTGGGCATAGTTCTGAATTGCTCTAAAGAATGCTTCAATCAGTTCACAACACCACCAACGGTGCATTGATATCTCATTTTTCCCACAATCCCTCCAACATTTGTCATTCTCCTTTTCTGTCCTTATTAGCCAATCTAACAGGTATGAGGTAGTACTTCGGAATTGTTTCAATTTGCATTCCTCCAATCAATAGCAATTTAGAGCACCTTTTTGATTACTTCATCTGAAAACTGTTCATATTTCTTGATCATTTATCAATTGGGGAATGGCTCCTATTTTTATAAATTTGATTCAGTTCTCTCTCTATATGTATATATAATTTTAAAAATGAGGCCTTTATCAGAGAAACTTGCTTTAAAATTTTTTTTCACAGTTATGATTGCTAAATATGCTTCCCTCCGTCCTACTCCACACCCATTTATTCTATTTTCTCTCTCCTTTCACCCTGTCCCTCCTGAAAAGTGTTTTGCTTCTGACTACTGCCTCTCCCAGTCTGCCCCCCTTCTATCATAGCCCCCTTTCTCTTATCCTCTTCCGCTCATACTTTCATTTAAGGTAAGATAGAGTTCTGTACCCAACTGAGCATGTATGTTATTTCCCTCTTTGAGCCAATTCTGATGAGAGTAAGGTTCACTCACTACCCCACCCCACTTGCCCCATTTTTCCCTCCATTATAAAAACTTTTTCTTACCTTTTTTATGTGAGATAATTTATCCTGTTCTACCCCTCCCTTTCCCTTTTCCCCAGTGCATTCCTCTTTCTCACCCCTTAATTTTATTTTTTAAATATCATCCCTTCATATTTAATTCACACATGTGCCCTCTGTTTATATATACGCCTAACTGCCCTAATAATGAGAAAGTTCTTATTGGTTACAAGTATCATCTTCCCATGCAGAAATGTAAATAGTTTAACCTTATTAAGTCCCTTGTGATTTCCCTTTCCCATTTACCTTTCTATACTTCTCTTGAGTCTTATATTTAAAAGTCAAATTTTCTATTCAGAATTCTATTCTATTTCTGTTTTCATCAAGAGTGCTTGAAATTCTTCTATTTCATTGAATTTCCATTTTTTCCCTCTGAAGGATTATACTCAGTTTTGCTGGGGAGGTGATTCTTGGATGTAATCCTAGCATCAGGAGTGGGGAACCTGCGGCCTTGAGGCCTCAAGTGTGGCAAGGTACTGGAGGATCTAGAGGGCCACCTATGACCTTGAGACCATAGGTTCCCCACCCCTGTGACTTTGCCCTCTGGAATATCATATTCCAAGCCCTCAGATCTTTTAATGTAGAAGCTGCTTCTCAATACTTGAATTGATTCTTTCTGGCTATTTGCAATATTCTCTCCTTGACCTGGGAGCTCTGGAATTTGGCTACAATATTCCTAGGAGTTTTCCTTGGGGGTCTCTTTCAGGAGGTGATTGGTGGATTCTTTCAATTTCTATTTTACCCTATGGTTCTAGAATATCAGAGCAGTTTTCCTTGATAATTTCTTGAAAGATGATGTCTAGGGTCTTTTTTCCATCATGGCTTTCAGGTAGTCCAATAATTTTTAAATTATCTTTCCTAGGTCTATTTTCCAGGTCAGTTGTTTTTCCAATGAGATATTTCCCATTGTCTTGTATTCTTTCATTCTTTTGGTTTTGTTTTATTGTTTCTTGATTTCTCATAAAGTCATTAGCTTCCATTTGTTCCATTTTAATTTTTAAGGAATTATTTTCTTCAGTGAGCCTTTGTACCTCCTTTTCCATTTGGCTAATTCTACTTTTCAAGACGTTCTTCTCCTCATTGGCCTTCTGTGCCTCTTTTACCATTTGGCCTAGTTTGTTTTTTACGGTATTATTTTCTTCATTGTTTTTTTGTGTGTCTCCTTTACCAAGCTTTGACTCTTTTTTCATGACTTTCTTGCATCACCCTTATTTCTTGTCCCAATTTTTCTTCTACCTCTCTTACTTCATTATGGAAATCCTTTTTGAGCTCTTCCATAGCCTGAGAACAATTCATATTTTTCTTGGAGGCTTTGGATGTTGGATCTTTGACTTTGTTATCTTCTTCTTAGTGTGTGTTTTGATCTTCCTTGTCACCATAGTAACGTTCTATGGTCAGAATTTTTTTTGTTGTTTGCTCATTTTTTCAGTCCATTTCTTGACTTTTAACTCTTTGTAGGGGCTCTGCTTCCAGGGTTAAGGGCACACTGTACCAAGGTTCAGGGGTTTTGTGCATCTGTTTTCAGAGATATTTGTAGGGACCTGTAAGTTTTCAGTTCATCCAAGGTGGTATGATCTAAGGAGGGGTGCACTTACTACTCCTCTGGCCTGTGCTCTGGTCTGTGAGAGGCCACAAGCACTCTCTTCTGCCCTGGAACTATGAGGAGGGTCACTGCTCCACCAGTGTGCTAGTGCTCCTACTCTCCCTGGGACTACCCCACAGGACTATGACGTGGATCTGAGTATGGGCAAAGCAACAGAGTCCTGCCTCCAGTGCCATCAAAGAGATCCCTGTAATCTTCTTCTAATCAGTTTGTTCAGCCCCCTTACTATCTGTGGGCTGAGAGCTCTTTAAACATCCATTGCCACAAGAATTAGAAATTGAAAGGATACCAATCAATTGGGTAGTGGCTGAACAAGTTATGGTATATGAATGTAATGGAATACTGTTGTGCTATAAGAAATGATGAGCAGGCAGACTTCAGAAAAACCTAGAAAGACTTGTATGGTCTGATGTGGAGTGAAGTGAGCAGAACCAGGAGAACGTTGTACATAATAACAGCCACGTTGTGTGATGAAAAAAATAGTATCCATTGCCACTACCGATTCAGTGGCTGCCAAGGCCTGCACCTGGTTTGCTGGGGCTGGGGCTGTGCTGGCACAGCTTGTGCTGGACTGTGCTGCAGCATGCTCATCCCATCATTTTATGGGTTCTGCCACTTTAGAAATTGCATTATGGCATTATTTAAAGGTGTTTGGAGGGGTTTATGGGAGAGCTCAGGAGAGTCACTTCTTTTTCTCCACCATCTTGGCTCCACCTCAGTCAACAGCTTATTCTCTTGTGGGAAATCAACATTTTCCCTCCAGCAAAGAGACACATAATCATCTCTAAGGCTGTGACTGAAGACTGATTACTTAGGTAGGATAAAAGAACAAGATATGGTTCTAGAAAGCTCTTTGAAGCTGTGATCAGTGTCTACAAAATAACCATCTACAAGAATGTGGAGTGTTAGAAAACTTATCAGTTGAAATATGACAAAGTGGGTTGGACTTGACCAGGAATCATGAGATCAAAATGAAAGGAAAATCCAGTACAAAATCCAAAAGAATGTCCCAATCCCAAAGTTCAGAAGACTGAATTAATCCCCAGAATCCTCTTGAATCTTAGATCTTTTCTCATTTCACTTTTCCTTATTTCCTGTGAATGAGTCCATAAGAGTAACTTTGATTTATTTTTCTTCCCCTAGGAAGTAGAAAGTCATCTCCCAGCACAATGAACTCCACTGATAAAGAAAACTCATCCGATCTTATAGAAATAGAAGATACATCAGAGATAATAGAATCAGCAAAGATAAAGGATATTGCTGATGCCACACAAAACGTGGTGAATGACAAGAAAAATTCATTTTTTTGCCCGGTATGCACTCAAAACTCTATCATGTGGTGTCAAAGGGTCATCCTACTCTTGAGTGCTCTAAACTTCTATGATAGTGTCTATTAAAAAAATTGATGGACTAGGTCTCTGTGGCATTCAGAAAGCCACTAGAGAATACCAATGGTATAGGTCAATGATCCCTACTATACTTCAATAATCAACAAGCATTAATTAAGTAACACCTATGTGCCAGGCATTGTGCTGCATAGTAAAGATATAAAGGCAAAATGGAACAGTGCCTACCTTGTAGGAACTTACAGTCTGGTCTGGGGAAACAACATATACATATATAAGTATATGAAAAATATATAAAATCAATACAAAATAATTGATGGGAAGGATGGGGGAGGGAAGATATCAAGAGCTGGGGGGATCAACAAAAGCTTCATGTAGAGGGTGGCTCTAATGATGAGTCGTGAACAAAACTAGGTAGAACTGAAGGAGAGTGCATACCAGGCATGAGAGATGATCAATGCAAAGGCACAAATACAGGAAATAGAGGAGGTATGAGGAGCAAAAACAAGGGTAAGGATGGTTTGTCCATAGTGTATGTGACATGGAGCAGGAGAGATAGTGTCACAATATGCGTTTGCAAGGCAACTACCTGGAATTAAACATGTAGCTTCTGTGAACTATTACGAGGATATGAAACAAAGGGGCCTGAAGTAGTAATCAAATCTGGGACTTTGACCTGAGTTGCCAGTATTGTTCAATCATTTTCTCTTCCTCCTACATCCTTGTCAAATTCTAATTTGCATTATATAATATTTTTATTCATATATGTTGCATACACTACTCAGTTGTAAACCCCTTGGAGGCAGGGACAGGGTATTACTCATCTTTCTGTCTTTCTCATCCTCTCCCCTACCCCTAGCACCATGTCTATCACATATTAGATGTTTCATAAATGTTTATTGCTGAATGAATAGATTAATGAATGAGCTGAACTAGCTGACTCATAATTCCTTTTAAAGATAATGGCATTTGCTGCAAAAATGTGTTTACTTTTTCAAGGTTAATTTTCTCATCAATATAATATTTTGGAAAGGCAGGGATGTTGAGAGGTCACTTAAGCCCTCTCCTTGATTCCCACTAGGCCTGCATTCAAGCTGCCCTATAAAGACAGCTTTGCAGGAAGACATGAGTTCATGCCCTACCTTTGACACTAACCAAACTGCCCTTTGGCACATTCTGATTGTTGAGTGCCTGGTAAGTCACTTAATTTCTAAGAATCTGAGGAAACTCTCTAAGACTCTTAGTTGCAGAGAAGGAACCAACCTGCACTGGTAGAGGAAACTTCCTTACCCTCGATTGCCCCATAGCAATAAAATAAAAGATCCAATCCCTATGTAGTCTCTGCCATTTTTTTCTCTTACTCATACTTGAAGCCTTGGGGTAAAACTCAAACAAAAGGTGATAATTTCCTCCACATATGTCAGTGACAAACTATTGACATGGATATGCCTCTTGATGTAAATGCAGAGTCAGTCAACTAGTATTTATTACATACTAACTGTATGCAAGGTATTGTGCTAAGTGCTGGGGATCCAAAAAAGGGGGGCCCCAGTTGAGGCAAGGCAGGTTATGATTGTGTGAAGCCCTGTTGGGTTTTGCAGTTGGCATATTGCTAGGGCATGTGGCCAAGGAAATCCCTTGTCTACAGCATTGGGATGCCATTCCCTATTATTTATCTCTCTGAATTAATAAGTCTTTCTTAGAGCTCATATATTTGGATCTGGATTTGGATTTTTCTTATCTGGTATTCCTGATACTATAAAAGAATCATAGGATGTTTAGAGTTGAAAGGGACTTTAGGGTTGTCTATCTAGTTCAATTGAAACACTGTGTAGCATCCTGTGTTTCGTCTAATTCAATCTTTTAATTTTACATAGGAGGAAAATTATGCCCAGAACAATGAAATGATTTGTCCAAGTGGATTAGTACTATTTGGGTTCGAAGGGATAAATTGAGAGATGATCAGTCTTTTCTACTCATTTTATTCTTACTAATTAGCATGAAATGCTTATCTTAATGAGTAATTTTTACATTAAATCGGCATCCACCATAGGAAAGGAACAACCTAAGCATGAAATTTAAGTATCCTAATGAGATTTATTAAGGGATATATTTTACACATTATGTAGCTGACTAAGACCTCAGAAGGGTTGATGGCCTGAGAGGATTAAATTTTTGCCTTGAAATGTCTCTCTTGCATCTATTTTGAAAACCACTGGTAGTGTCAGATCAGCTAATGGGGATACAGCAATGAAGGTGATTTCTTTGTTTTCCTTTTTATGTAGGAAAGGTCACATCTCCAATGTGAGCAAGCTATGTTTGGACAGTTTTCCCAGGGTTCTAGGGCAGCAATGGATGAGGAATCAAGGTGTTATCTGCTACCTTCTTTCTGGGATCCTGCACTTAAAGTTCTTTGAGCGCTGTGATTGATTGAAGGGGCAAAGAAGGGAGAAAGATAGGAAGGAGAGGGTCTAACTCTCCTCCCATTTGATGTTGCAGATTCATTGGACCTCTTCACAAAGAAATATGAGAGGGGTGCTGCTTTTGTAGTTTTAGCTGGACTCTGAGAAACATTAATCAATCAATTTCCCAGAGCCTTAAAGGCTTATTATCCCTCTATAAATATGACCATTAGCCTCTAAGGGGCATCATGGCAAAACACAGAACAAAGGTGTCATTAGATTATTGATGGCCTGAATTTCTGACTCTGAAGTCAACCTTCAAATTCATAAAATTAAGCGTAGGTACATTAAATAGCTTAACATTTGCTTAGGATTTATTGTTCAATTTTTCACTTGATGAGAGGTCTTACATCTATGACGCAAACAATGAGCAATTACTGCAGTCTAGAATAGGTCCTATGAGTCCCAAGGTGACACAGCTGGGTTGATAGTAAAGTAAATATTAGAACCTAGTTTTACTAATTCTTTATTCAGGATTTCTTTCACTTCACCATTCTACTTTGCTTTGGTTTGCTTTAGTTTTGTAAATATACCACCCTTCTCTGCCACCCAAAGAATAACACTTCTATTTTCATGGTCATTTGATATTTCATTTGCCTTGAGTACTATGTGCTTACCCCTCTATTTCATTTCCAGTACAGTTTCTCTGAAAGTCTCATGTCTTCTCGTTAAATCATTTCATTTTACCTGCTGGATTTCTTCTTTGTGTGCTACTCTAATGATATAGATGTTCCTTCTTTTTTTTTTTTTTTTTTATTTACAGCTCTCAAAATTGCTTTTATCAGCTGACACTTTGATAAAGGAAAATGAAAAAATACATAACTTAAGAAAACATGATATTTCCATTATGGAAGCAAAGAACTATCTTCTTCAAGTCTTAAATATCATATCACTAGAAACACTGAGTCACAGAGTGCCAATAGAGTTTGCTCAGCCTATTGTTTTCAAAGGCAAGTGTCATATTTCTGACCCAAAAGAAATGATTAAAATCCTACACTGCACCTTATTAGCAGTTAGTGGACCAGGAACATTAACTGAAAACAACTCAATGCCTTCCAGAGCAATTGCCTCGATGAACAAAATTCCCCTGCCAATGCACATCTTCCCTTATGTGATGCTTGCCTACCATTGTCTTCCTTTCTTGTTACCTTTCCTAAGAAGAGATGACATTCTGAATGAGAAGATTTTCTGTAGGATGGTCCTTTTCAACATCGCTCCTCCCAAAGCGAAAGTCTTCAGGCCACAAGCAAGGAGACAAAAACATTATGAAAAATTGCTCCATCCAGGTGGGTAAATCATTATTATCGTTATCATAAGCACAGCATAATGGATAGTGCTAGACTGGTAGTCAAGAAGTCTTGGGTTTGAATCCTGCCTCATTCACTAACTAGCTGTGTGACTGTGGTCAAGTCACTTGACCTTTCTATGCCTCAATTTCCTCATATATAAATTGCAGGATTTTAAAATAACGGTGTTTGAAAAATGTTAACCAAGGCAGAAGGACATGCTTGGTTAACTAGTTTTTGTTTCTGGCCATTCTGAATAAGAAAGACTTTATTATCCAGCATCAAGTAGACCTTAATAAGCCAGGGTGTCTTAATAGTCTTAGTGCAACTATTTGCTGCCCTGAGACTTTTGGGACACCCTGTAGTAAAGATATCAAATCTCACACCCTAACCATGCTAGTTATGAAGGCATTTTCTAGTCTCTCTAACTGTTTCTGCCTGCTCAGAAAGGTGCAATATTCAAAGTCCTGTATATCAACTTTATTAAGGTCACAAGTTCTACATTGGTACTGCCTCTATACCTCCAAGTATTTTTAAATATTTCCTATTTAATCTTCTCATTCTCTCCCCGATTAGGCTAAATCCAAGTTCTTCTGCAAATATATATCTCTAAAGTAGCAAAAAGGGAATACAAAAAGAGCCAAAATGTGTTAAGCTTCACTGAGGCTTTCACTGGATTTCCTTTTGTTTGGCTATCTAATTCCTTTTAGACCTTCTTTAGCACAAGGTCACCCTTTCACCCATTAGCTAGTACTATAATATGATGGATGAAAAAAAATTATTCTTTGAATGCATTTGCTACCCCTAAAATACGCTTGAATTGTATAAACATGCCTTCTAGAGTTGATGGAATTCTTCCCTAGAACCATCCCTGGAACTCAGGTAGTTTTTTTTTCCCCAAGCAAAATAATGACCATGCTGTAACAAGTTAAGGAGACCAGAATTCAGTGTTGGTAATTGAAAAAATCATCTAAATAAAAAATATATAAGTAAAAACTAATCTTTATTAGAAAAAAAAAGAAAGAAATACTATAGGAGCAAGGATTAAAGGATCATGACTTCCCAGTCATACCAGAATACCTATCTCTCACTAATCTAATTATCCATTGTTATTTTGACTAAATATAGGAATTCAAATTTATTTTTCCCCATTTACAAAATTTTGAGGCTATTTATTATATTCTCTTCTCAACACTATTTTCTAAATCCATCTCCTTTTGCCTTTCATTTGCATTGTGCTTTAGGTCTTGCCAATAGCATCGACTTAAAACTTGCTATTACTCTACGAACTAATTCTTTAATTGTTGCTTTCCTAATCAGCTTCGTATGGAATACTATTTCCCTTTGTCTGGATCTACCTTTGATCTTTGGTGAAGGGGAGGGATTTAGGTTATGCCTTCTCAGGTAATGCATATCAATATACTCTCTATCCTCTTTTTTTTTTTTACTAGTGATTCAGAACTGAGAGGAAATCCTAAAACACAATAGCATAGTGGTCATATACCAAGGGTCAGCCTCTGTTGATTTGTTTTAACCTCTGTAAAATTTAATAGTTTATCTTAGTGACCATAGTGACCAGGGTGTCAATCATTCATTCCTTTAACTTTGTAGTCAGGGAAATCCACAATAAGGTTCCTACTTGCTGCCAGATCTGGCCCAATTTAAAATGTCCTAATCAGCTGAATTCAAGTAGAAAAACAGGATCCCTCTTCTGCAAAAACTGGAAAGATGTTTTTAAGAGGACTGAAAGATTCCCTGATAAAATTGGATATAAACACAAATTACCTGAACATAGAAAGAAGAGGAAGGGAGGGATAAGTATAACTTTTTATCCTAAGAGTGAGAATCAAGTACTGCAGGGATTTATTTGTGAAATGTACATCTTGAAGTTACTACTAGCTGCCAATTTGGGATCAACAAATATAATTCCCCCAAACTCCGATTATTTTCAGAAAAACAATTCATGGATCTGAAAGACCTCCAGCGGAAATATTATAAGGGCATTTTGAAGTGGAAACGAAAATCCCGGCTTCTGTTCAAAGACGTATCTTTTGTTATTGAAAAGGCATTCGTACCAGAAATGATCTCACTTGATTATAAGCCCATCATCGTTTTTAAGCTGGTCAGAAGTACTGATTTTAATTGACCATAAAGAGTTGGTTGTTTGTGTTAAGTAGAACCTTCCATTAAATAAAACAATGCACATCTATGATGATGATGATTTTTTTAAATAATTGAAGTTAAATAGATAATGAAGCACATCTTTCTCAGTGCCTTGGGACACACATAATCTTGGAAGTGAGAACAGTAACTCTTTCATATTCCTTCCCAGATTCTTCCCTGAATCTGAATTCAGGATATTAATCGGTTAATCAAGTATTTATTGAGTTTATCATTCCCAACAATTCTAAGCTCTGAGGGAAACACACAAAGAAGTATTAGCCACTCATATTCTTCAAACAGAGGCAAGTGGTATGAAAGAATTATTTTCTCCAATGTATACTTCCTAGAGTAGAGAGAAAGGACCTGGAGTGAGTATTGCCCCAGTAATCTTCCTAATGCTCTAATTATTTCACTTTCTTTTTTTCTCTTCTTTTATTTCACTTTCTATTATAAAACCTTTAGTGGTTCCCCATTGCCTACTGAATCATAAATGATGCCCTGATACATGAACAAGTAGGCAGAGGAAGGAGACTGGGTTTCCTTGACGTTTTATGCTTTGGTCAGACCCTAAACTTTATCTTCTTCAGCCACATCTAGAGGTGGCTAGGTGACACAGTAGAGAGAGCTCTGGGCTTGGAGTCAGGAAGACCTGAGTTAAAATCTGACCTCAGACACTTACTAAGTGTGTGACCCTGGGCAAGTCACTTAACACTATTTGCCCAAGTTTCCTCAACTGTAAAATACAGATCATAATAGCACCTATCTCCCAGGGTTGTTGTGAGGATCAAATGAGATAATATTTATAAAATATTTAGCAGTGTCTGGCACATAGTAGGTGTAATAAATAGCTGTAGATATACATACATTAGCTATCATTATTAGCTTCATTTACACACATATACACACATACATTCTCATTCATTTCAGTAACTTGCCTTGGCACAGGGCCTCGAACTTAAGATGTCCAGTGGAGAATTTTTTTCTACTTTTCCACTAGGTTTTATGCTCTGGCTGATAACTGATTACATAAGAGATTGTAAGTGACACCATTTACAGGCGGTGTTTATGAGGACCTAAAGCACCATCAGATTCGACCTCTATCTTCTCCCTAGTGCCAATCAGTTAATAAACATTAAGTGCCTACTGTGTGCCAGGCACTGTGCTTAGTGCTGGGAATGTACATAGAAGCAAAAGACAGTTCCTGCCCTCAAGAAGCTCACATACTAATGGATAATAATAGTGCTAAGAACTCTGCTTAAAATTTCTGATCATATGATAAGTGTGGTTTCTGTTAGCTCCATGAGGCTAACATCTTTTTCCTGTCTCCTAAGTGCTTATTTCTATGGCACTACTAGGTGGCACTGTGGATGACCCAAGAGTCAGGAGGACCTGAGTTCAAATTTGGACTCATACGCTTACTAGCTGTGTGACCTTGGTCAAGTCACTTAACCCTGTTTGCCTCAGTGTCCTCATCTGTAAAACGAGCTGGAGAAGGAAATGGCAAACTACTCCAATACCTCTGCCAAGAAAATCCCAAATAGGGACATGAAGAGTCAGACACAATTGAAAATGACTCAACAACAAAACAAAAACTATCTTGCATAGTGGCAGGTTGAGAGCAATTTATTCTTGTAACATCATCAGCTTTCACCCGTGTAGAAAAGCATTGTACTATATTTGCCAACATCAGGGAAGGTTCTGCAACTGGTAATCTGATTAGTTTCCCCCCCCCCATCATATACGTGGCATTCAATCCACCATAATTCAGTCCCTCCTCTTTTCTTGCCTAAATTATTGTAAAATCCAAGTTAACTGGTCTTTCTACCTTTCTTCATTCTATTACCTTCCTTCACATCCATCCTTCACACTACAGTCATCCCTTCCACATGACAAGGTTAGGGGTGTGACAGCTCACCCCCGACCCCTGCAATCTGGAAAATCTGCATACAGCTTTTTGTACCTCCCTTCCTACCAGAGAAGTCTGAATTTTTTCCTTTTTCTTTTATCTGGTGTTTACAGTACCTTATTGTAAAATTTGGGGTAAGTATTCAGTCATAGTCTCTGTGTCTTCTGCTGGCCTTCATGTGTCATCTGCAGCTTCTGCAAAGCTGCCCCAAAAATTCTCGTTTAATTTATTATGCCAATTCATGATATAACAAAACAGCGATGGGGAAAGTCGAGATGTGGAAGGGATAGCAGTATTACCTCAGTAATCTTCCCAATGCTCTGCTCTAATTACTTCACTTTCCTTTTTCTTTTATTTCACTTTCTATTATAAAACCTTTAGTGGTTCCCCATTGCTTACTGAAGCAAATATAAACTCCTAATTCTGGCATCTAAGACCTTCCACAATGGACTCCAACCCATCTACTTATTCCATAGAACTCCTCTTTCATATACAACACATCCTGGCCACAGTGGCTTGATCTGCTTTTCCTATTCTTAGCCTGTTCTCTTAGCCCGTACCTTCCTCATGCTGTTGTCTGCACAACATACAGCCCGCAGGCTGCTTGTGGCCCACCAGAGGATTTTGGGCGGCCCGCAAAAAATGTAGAGGATGGGGCAGCTAGGTGGCGCAGGGTATAGAGCACCGGCCCTGAAGTCAGGAGGACCTGAGTTCAAATCCAGCCTCAGACCAAGCACTTGACACTTACTAGCTGTGTGACCCTGGGCAAGTCACTTAACCTCAATTGCCTAAAAAAAAAAAAAATGTAGAGGATGTAAAAGAAAGTAAAGATGTAATGAGTGCTTTGTCCGTGCCCTGCTTAACTTGCCTTCCACTAGTCACTATTGTGCCTGTCTGGAAACTTGGCAGGTGGTTTGCCACTGTGCATTCTCTCCTGTTTGCCATGTGAGCCATGGCAACCAACCATTTCCAGTCTTTCTCTAGTCTGAGAGCAGTGAGAGTCGTATCTTTTTTTTTTTTTTTTTTTTTGGTGAGGCAATTGGAGTTAAGTAAATTGCCCAGAGTCACACAGTTAGTGAGTGTTATGTGTCTGAGGCAGGATTTGAACTCAGGTCTTCCTGACTCCAGGGCCGGTGCTCTATCCACTGTGTCACCTAGCTGCCCCTGAGAGTCGTATCTTTTTGTTATGTTTTTGGTCATTACTGGCGTTGAACAGGGACAAAGTGAGTGTAACAAAGTAATTTTTTAAACATTAATGTGATTTCATGATCAATAAAAACCCTAAGTAATAAGTGTAATTAATTAATGTTAATTGGAATTTCCCCTTTTTAAAATATGGTTTACTGGAAACAGACCTTATAGTAACAATGCTTGAACAGAATAGAAAATGGATATTCTCTCAGTGCCTCTATGCACATCTATGTATGCTAAACTGAAATAGGAATTAATATATCATAGAAATTGTTGATTTTGGGGGGGCTCCCAAAGGGAAGGCAGGGGGAAAGGACCCTGATGTGATGCTTTTTCCATTCTCATTATACAAGATTAAAGAATAATTTCTCATTTATCCTCACTAATGGCTGCAAACACTACCACTCAGTGCCACAGTGAGCTTGCTAAACAAACAAAAAACCAAGAACACAGCCTGGCTTCAGAGCAGAAGGTGCTCTTGGTGAGGAATGATGTGGACTTGGATTTGGCATTGGTTCCTTAAATTTGGATAGCTATATAGAAAAATCTGCAATATACACATGTGTATACACACGTGTACATATATGTGCATGTGTACATACATGTATATGTATATCTGTTATGTATGTGCATGTATATATGTATTATTTGTATGTATATGTATATAATATGCATACACACACACACA